CATGATCTTTCAGAAATCCTTATAATATGATGGCTCAAGAAACATTGTAAACAATGTCAAGTCTTTACTGTCACTTTTAATTCAGCATGTCCTTGCTGAATAATTTTAGCATAAAAATAAAAACCTTACTGACTAAAAACTTTTGGAAAATAAAATAAATGAATGTATAGTTCAAGATTTGACCTATATTATAATATATTAATAATTGTAATAATTATTATATTAAATATTATAATATTATTCTGTATATAAATTCAGACTTAGAATTCTGTTTCCTGTCTATTACCTCAATCAGTATAAAAAAATAACAAAAATTAAATATACTTTCTTCACCTCACATGTGAGTGATATTATCCTGCAGTGCCATTAAACCTTCTTGTTTAATGGCCACTCATTCAAGCCAATGCAGATGAAGCTGCCAACTCCACCAATTAATCTAGTTAAAAACACACAAGTATGCATAAAGTTCCTGAGCTTTATGACCGCTGGCCAGAACTCATACCAGCCACTCCAAAGTCCACCGGTCCAGCTGACTTTTTTTTTTAAATGCTGCCAGTTCCAAGAAACATTAATTACGAGATTTATGCCAGCTTTTCCCCATGAGATCACGTAGCAGATAACAGACGACACACTGGGTTAGAGTTCCCTCAGATCTCATCCCAAAGTAAATGGCAGCCAAGGTTAATTGGCTTCTCTGGCCTCCCCAGAGGCTGATCGACGGTATCAAAATTGTTTTGCTTTTGTTAAGTGCGGAGGGTGATGGGTTTAATCAAGGCATTAAGTAAACGAGATTTAGTCACAAGCAGTGATTTAGTCTCCGCTCCTGGCGTTCGACTGTCCACTGTGCATCCAATTAAAATCAATGCAAACTATAATTGTATTTTATAGTAATTGGGTGGTTCAAACATATTCAATCAACATGGGACTTAAATTGTGCTGCCTAAAGCTTTCATCCACCTTCCCTTTAATGGAAATGTGCTTTTGGCACGATGCATCTATGAATGCATTAAAAATGAATATGACATACAGTTGAACTATTATTGGTTAACTATAGTAGAAATTGATTTAGGTGTAGGTATTCTGTCTGTCTTTCAGCTTCTCTTCAAACCAAATATCCATGCCGAGAAGAAAGAGCTATTTATTGCTTTTTATCTCCCTTTCACTATCTTTTCCTTTTCTTCTTGCTTTAAGGGTTGAGGTGTTGATTAAAAAGGCATCTGAAAACCCACTTTCAGGCTAAAGTGGCTGCATTTTTCTACATGCTGCATTTTCAGGTTTAGACTTTTCTCCAGATATCCACTCATTTTTGGGGAGAATTGAATTTGGGCTCATCGATAATTCAATCTTCATAGCTTTTTTCCTCCATGCATTCTGTTTTCTTTAATCTGGCTGAGAGAAAATAGCTGAACAAGCTAGTCGTGTGAAACATTAGCCTGTGTAGAGATGCTTCATCCACATATCTCTCGTGCTTTTGTAGTCTTATCTTTTTTGTAATAAACTTTTCTACATTTTAATGTCATCTAAAATATGAAATCACATAAATGGAAGTTACATACTGACCACAAATGTTAAACAATAAAAACATATCTTATATTTTTTTATGTTTTTGAACAAAGTCTCTTATGCTGACCAAGGCTACATTTATTTGATGAAAAATACAGTAAAAACTGTAATCTTTTACTGTATATTATACCAGTCTTAAGTGTCACAAACCTTCAGAAATTCTGCTTAGTTATTTTTGGCCCTCAATAATTATTACGGTTCTTATCGATGTTGATTCCCCCCCCCCCCCCCCCAAATAAATGCAACCGTGGTGAGCGTGACTTGTTTCCAAATAAATAAATATATTTTGGTAGGTAGTATAGATTCTTCAAAGGAGCCACCCTTTACCTTAATAACATCCCTGTGCTCTCTTGACCTGCTCAACCAATTTCATGAGGTGCATCATGGGATACTTTTCCAACTGTCTTGGAGTATCCATGTATGCTGGGCTTTGCTTTTTCTTCACTGTCCATCTTTTTTTTCTCCATTAAAAACAATTCTGTAAAGAAAAGGCACAACCGCACAATTTATATTTGTCTGTAAAACTACTTTCGAAAACATTTACACATACAGCAAGCCAGCAAATTCAAAGGTTTTTAAGATCATGAGGAATCCTAAACCAGAAAAATCTGTCCACACTTTGACTGGTAGTCTAAATTCAGTCAAGTGTGTTCACCTTCACATAACAGAGGGTGCGATCATTGTGATTGTCAGACAATCAGGTGCATCCCATCTTGAGGGGTGCTGTTTAGCTTTGTCTACAGCCTAGCTGTTACAGCAGATGGCCAAGAGAAGTTGTTTCATTACCACTGTATCCTAAGGGTTCTCAATCGATTCGCTTTCTCTTCTTCCTTCTCCACCTTGACTTATATTACTAGCAGTTCATTTGACACACTGGAAACAGACTGCATTGTAGAATAGAGTACCCAGCACAACGTGCTCTATTGTATACTGCACATTTTTCCAGGTTGTATTACATGAATAAAGAAAAATAGTGCTATGCACAGTAAACATACTATATACACTGCAGAAATAATAAGAGTAGTATGGCAGAACACTAGGGCTTAAGCAGTACACTAGAGCTCAAAATGGATTGTCTGCTTGCCTGAGGCCATTATAAAAGTGTTTTTGGACAGCTGACAGAAGTCTCATGCATTTGTCAGTGCTGTATCTGTAACATTTTTTATATGTGGACACTATCATTTAAAGGTTTGGGTTAAGTAATAATTTATTTTTTGAAATAAATGAATATTTTTTAATCAGCAAGAACACATTTATTTGATTAAAATTGACAGTAAAATAACTTTCAAAGCCCCCCCCCAAAAAAATAAGCAGCAACTGTTTTCATCATTGATAATAATAAGATATGTTTCTTGAGCAGCAAATCTGCATATTTGAATGATTTCTGAAGGATCACGTGACACTGAAGACTG